ATTACCTAAGTGTTTGCAGAAAAGATAATAGACCAACGTTTTTCAATAGAATCAGGGAGCAGATCATTGGTAGAGAACTCTGACTCAGTTAGATAGGCTGGCCAATCATGGGGCAGGAAACAGACTACATACTATCTACACTGAATTTTAATAGGTCATTCAAGACCAGAATACCGACAAGGGATGATTGGGCCGCGAACACTGTCCTAAGGGACGACGTGATCTCAATATATACTGATGGCTCAAAGACAGAAAGGGGCACGGGATCGGGAATCTTTTCCGAAAAACAGAATCTTCAAGTATATCTTCGACTACCTGACACCTGCACGATTCTTCAGGCAGAGATATATGCAGCCGCGAGAGGAAATCGGGAACTAAATCTTGAAAATATCTTCTCAATTGTATTCAATCGTTGTCACAACTGACACAACATCACGTTGAGTTGATTGGGTGCTAGTTCATGAGGGCATCCGGGGAAATGAAATATATGAAGAATGCGCAACCGATGGGTCGTCCCTAGACTTAACCCTTGCGCAAAGGAATATTCATACTCCCCAGGTGGCCCTATCAAAATTGATAGATGACTATTGAAACAGCTCTTCTCTCATTAGTTGGACACATTGAAAGTTCACATAACGAGTAATCCCTTGTCGCCTTTATGTCTATTGAAGGCATCTTTTAAAATGTTGAACCCAATGCCATCCTGACTGCGCTAGGAGTCAACTGTTCATTGGGAAACTATTGAGTAATAGGGTAAAAAGTACCACAATGGGTGGAGTCTGCGTCTTACTAATCATGGCGCTTCTTAGGGAGGAGTTTTGTCTCCCCTACTGTGGAACGAGTCTATGAATACATTACTATCTTAAATGGATAGCAGGAAGATTACGACTGTCACTTATGCCGACGACGTAGCGGTATTAGTATCGGCAGAATTCCTTGATACTATGTCTAGATGCATGGAAACTGCTCATGAGTTAATTAAGTAAATGGAGTGTTTCCTGTGACCTTAGTGTAAATCCACTGAAAACTGAACTAGTTCTCTTCATATATAATAATTGAAAATTTTATACCGCCAAAGTTGAAGCTATTCTGGAATCTGAAAATCCAGAACCGGGTTAATAAGGCCAACATGGCTATTTATACCTATAACCTGGGGAATTAAACCGAAAGGTATTAACTGTATTTTCAAGGCAGTATTGGCGACTGCTTTGAGTTCTATTAAGTTATAGTATGGTAGCAAGCAATGGAGCATACTTCACACTGTGCAACCATTGATCGCACTATGAGAAACATTGCCATTACTTATTGACTTATTACGGGAGCAATGAAGACAAGAACAACCAAAGCAGTTCTAACCATGTTGAAGTGATTACCAGCTAACTTAATGGGCGTTCAACTTGCCTTCAACTCTGCGATCGTGGTCTGGTCACAGAAATTACGGACACTCTATAATTATAAAACACTTCGAATCATTACATTTGAATGTTGTCTATTGCATTACAAAGCCCAACTTCGATAATCGATTTCGCACCAGGACCACTTAGGGAATCTGAATTAGAACCGCACCCGCTTCCAAGTGTAACAAAAATTTACACCAATGGCGCCAAAAGGAGTGGATGATGGTTTCTTTATTGAAGGATTTGGTATTAAATCTTCCTTTCAGAATGCCTACCTAATGTAATGTTCATCAGGCAGAAATATCTATCAAACGAGCAGCGAATTGGCTATGGTACCTTAGCCAATTCGCTGCTCACATTGAGGTATATATGTATATATACTGACAGCAAAGCTGCTATCGAAAATCTCAACGAATGCCACGTATCTCTAAATGAGATAGCGAGACATTGTAGAATAACACTAATATGGGTCCCTGGTCACGATAATTGTCAGTGTAACTGTATAGCTAATGAATTAGCCATGAACGGAACATGAAATCGACGTCTTTACTGGTATCTCTCTTACACTTGTTCTAAATGAACTGTTTGAGACGCCCAGGATCAAATATTGTCCGTTGTTTGTGATAATTTTGAATAATATGCTGCCAAATTTCATGATAATTGTACCGGTGGGGGGGTCTTGGCAAGGCGAATTCGTCTACATTTTAGCCCTCTAACTCCTACCGTGTGGTCCCAATCGTGCTTTCAACAAACAGACGGACATGGTTATATCGTCTAAAATCTAACAAGTGATATATTCGGCTGTGCCGAATCTTAATTACCCTCTAGCAGCAAGCTACTTTTTATTAAAACCCACTTAACTATATAATTTTTTGTCAACTTGACAAAAGTTTTGTTTCCGTACTGGGGGTACTAAGATTTATGCATATGTTGAACTAATTTTGATGAGGTCCAGAAAAATTTATATTGTTATTAAGTGATTTTCACCTTATATGGGAGCTAAAACAAATTATGGACGATTTAATGATTTATATATACAAAATACACATTTATATCGAATTTTATACCTATAACATTGATTATAATGTGCGTTTAAATAATTTTCGGAGGTGGACCTTATATGCGAGCTATAGCTTTATAATTCAATGATATAGCTATAGCTTTATAATTCAATGATATATACGGGTATGTGCGTTTAAGTGATTTTAGGAAGTGAGCCTTATATGGGAGCTATGACCAATAACGGACCGATTCGGAAAAAATTTAGTTAACATATTTAAGTCGAATTTTATCCCCATAGCTTTATAATTCAATGAAATATATGCGTTTAAGTGATTTTCGAAAGTGGACCATATATGGGAGTTATGACCAATTACGGTACTATCCGGAAAAAATATGTGTGCTTAAGTTATTTTCGGAAGTTGGCCTTATATGGGAGCTATGACCAATAATGAACCGATCCGGAAAAAAATTGCTAAAATGATTTAAATAAGGAAAAAAAAAACATATTCTAGTAAAATTTTATCACAATAGCTTTATTTATCAATGAAATATGTGTGTTTAAGTAATTTTCGGAAGTGGACCTTACATGGGAGCTATGACCAATTATGAACCGATACAGATCTACGTAGGTAGTATGATTTCTGTTCACATTATAATTACATGTACAAAATTTTATGTTGTTATAGATATATACCTTTGCATGGGGGCTATGGGAGATATTGGGGTCTATGGGAAATATTGTTACGATTTTGAACATACTTGATCCCTGGCAGGAAAAAATAATGTGTGACAAAATCTTTAATAATTAAGAATTGTGGAAAAAAAAACGTAATTTTTTTCGAGGTAGTCTGAAATTTCTCCTTTTTTCGGTTTTACTTCGTAAACCGATTTTGCTGATTTTCAATGCCAAACTGCTTAGGATAATAACAAATATTTTTGGTGAATTTGGTTGATTTCCTTTGCTTTGTTTTAACGTTAGCGTGTTTTACACATACAGACAGCCGGACATAGCTAAATCGTCTCAGAATTTCACAAGGACCCAGAATATATATACTTTGTTTAAGATGAATATTTCTTGGTGTTACACACGGAATGACAAACTTATATATAACCTCTATCACGACTGATGGTGGTGGTGGAAGGTATAAAAAGGTTTCAAAATACATATATTCTTTACGGGTCTATAACCTATATTTTGACAATTCTAATCACCTTAAGATTTCGCTATGAGATTAAGCTTTTGAATCGCGGCTATTCGAATATCTACTTTGATTATACAAATTTAAGATAGATTTATTAATTGATTTAAATCTTTGGTACTGGTTCATAGAAAGTACTTCAGAAGCACTATCTTAATCTTAAGAACAGGTTCAATCAGAAATAGTTCTGATTGTACTCGTTCGAGAATAAGTAATTTACCATTAATTTGAAATGTCACATATACATAATCTAAACTGATAATACTGAAAGTCCCTAATGTAGCAGATTGCTGTTAAAGAGTATTAAACTCTTATATCAAATTGAACAATAAATTAACACTGAATACCGTTTTATTATTCTGTTATAAAATCATCAATATAATAAAATAAACTACAATGGATTGAACATTTTGAAAGTTGTTAAATAGTGAGATTTTTATATGTTTTTTATAGTTTCTAACAAAGTAGTTTTATTTGTGATAAACAATTTTTTACCCGATGGCTTAAGTTTACACCCACTAATGTTTTTTTTTTTTAACAAAATTTAAGCTGTTTTGTTATTTGTTACAATTATTATTTTATTTTTTTTTTTAAGAAAAAGAGAAATTACTAAAATCCCCATGGGATTTTTTGCACCATTACTATTTGAACTGATTTTTTAAAATAATTTGTTTCGCCTTTCCGGAGCCAACTTATAAAATTAAAACATTTAAACCGTTTATTTATTAATGTTGTTGTTGTTTTTTATAAAAATCAAATTATTTTGGGTGAAATTACTTGTGATTTCAATTTAAATTTTTTTTATTTCTTTATTTAAAACCCAAACTAACACACACATATTTTTTTTTGTTAAATTTTGTTTCGTATCCACGTCATTACATTTTTATTTCTTTATTTCTTCTTGTTGATTTTTTTGTTACTTTTTATTCATTTACCAACATAATAATTTTTAAAAAATAAAATAAAATATTTTTCTTCTCAAGTTTAAAGGCTTTAAAAAGCCCTTGAAGCCATTTAAACATTTAAGAAAAATTATGTTTTATTTTAATTAAATAATCTTCATAATTAATTATTTAATTTCACTTTAAGCTTAAACGTTTTGGGGTTTCGTTTTGCTCTCAACACTTCTTTGTTATTGTTTTTTTTTTTTTCGAAAAATTTTAAAATTTAAATTCTCTTTATTTTGTTTTTATCTTTAATTTATATTTATTTAAATTTCATTAGTTTTATATTATCTTCTTTATTTTGCATGATTTTTTTATTAATATTTCTATTTACAAAATTCTTTTTTTTTTCTCTCGCATACACTCGTTCATCTGCCTTTTTTTTTCTCAACCCGGCCCCCCACTCTTTGTTGTTAACATTTTTTAATTCCCTGACACTATGTTGTTATACTCTTTACCGTTTTCTTTTAGTTACCAACCACTTTTTTTCAAACACACTCACACACACTTTCAACTCTTTTCTTCTTTAAGATCTCTTTCTTCTCGCGCCTTCTTTTTTATGTTTAACTATTATTCCGTTTTACCGTCCGCGATCGCTGAAAGTCCGTTAATTACTGACTGTTTGTTGGAGACTTGTCTCAGCTTGGAGCCATCCATCCAGTGCAAACAGCTGAGTTTTAAATGTTGTTTCTGCTGTTGTACAAGTTGCTGTTGTTGTTGTTGTTTTAAATTTTTTTAAACATATAAATATATACAACAAAAACTATCATAAACAAAATTGTTTTGTGTTAGTTCATGGCATGTTAATGTAGAAGGAAAAAAATAACAGCAACAACAATTATTTTGTACCAAAAAAACTGGTGCCTCTTAAGTGTTCAGGGGGTCTTAATCTGTTGGAGCTTTGTTTGCATCGAATTATACAAATTATCGACCATATTGAACATATTTATTCCTTGGTCACTATCACTATTTCTTTATTACAAAATTTGTCTCTATTTACCTTTTCTGGAAATTTTATTTCAGATCTGCCCAGTTAATATATTCCAAAAATATTGGTTCTGTTATAACATGTCCCATTCTTCATTCTGATAACAATTCAGATGTCAAGTGTTGTTGTTAGTTAGTGAGTTAGTTAGTTAGTTAGTTAGTTAGTTAGTTAGTTAGTTTTGTTAGTTAGTTAGTTAGTTAGTTAGTTAGTTAGTTAGTTTAGTTAGCTAGTTGTTAGTTAGTTAGTTAGTTAGTTAGTTAGTTTAGTTAGTTAGTTAGTTAGTTAGTTAGTTATTGTTCGTTGAGTTGTTCGTTCGTTAGTTAGTAGTTAGTTCGTTAGTTAGTTCGTTCGTTCGTTCGTTCGTTGTCGTTAGTTTCGTTCGTTCGTTAGTTCGTTTCGTTCGTTCGTTTTTAGTTGTTCGTTGTTAGTTTAGTTGTTCGTTCGTTTTCGTTCAGTTCGTTCGTTTTAGTTTCGTTCGTTAGTTCGTTCGTCGTTCGTTCGTTCGTTTTTCGTTCGTTCGTTCGTTCGTTTTCGTTCGTTCGTTCGTTGTTCGTTCGTTCGTTTCGTTCGTTCGTTTCGTTCGTTCGTTCGTTTCGTTCGTTCGTTCTTCGTTCGTTCGTTCGTTCGTTAGTTCGTTTCGTTCGTTCGTTGTTCGTTCGTTCGTTCGTTCGTTCGTTCGTTCGTTCGTTCTTGTTCGTTCGTTCGTTTCGTTCGTTCGTTCGTTCTTTCGTTCGTTCGTTCGTTCGTTCGTTCGTTCGTTCGTTCGTTCGTTTCGTTCGTTCGTTCGTTCGTTCGTTCGTTCGTTTTCGTTCGTTCGTTTAGTTCTTCGTTCGTTCGTTCGTTCGTTCGTTTCGTTCGTTCGTTCGTTCGTTCGTTCGTTTCGTTTTCGTTCGTTCGTTCGTTCGTTCGTTCGTTCGTTCGTCGTTCGTTCGTTCGTTCGTTTCGTTCGTTCGTTCGTTCGTTCGTTGTTCGTTTCGTTTCGTTCGTTCGTTCTTCGTTCGTTCGTTCGTTCGTTCGTTCGTTCGTTCGTTCTTCGTTCGTTCGTTCGTTCGTTCGTTCGTTCGTTCGTTCGTAGTTAGTTAGTTAGTTAGTTAGTTGTTAGTTAGTTAGTTAGTTAGTAGTTAGTTAGTTAGTTAGTTAGTTAGTTAGTTAGTTAGTTAGTTAGTATTTAGTTAGTTAGTTAGTTAGTAGCTTAGTTAGTTAGTTAGTTAGTTAGTTAGTTAGTTATGTAGGTAGTTAGTTAGTAGTTAGTTAGAAATACACATAGGCCTCTACCTACCACATTTCAGAACACCTAACAACTTAAAACTCCTTATGGAACTTCTGCATGATATCTGAAAACATCAACTATCTTAAACCTGTCACAGGTTTTTTCAAAGAGTTGACTTTTGAACGATAATTTTTACTAAAGTTAACGGTGAAACTTCCGCCTGGGTTCAATGGAATATAAGGTTGGCGACAGTAGCTGGGAAATCTCTGGAATCTCTGCCTTAGTGAGTAAACAATTGCAATTGTGGCTGCTTTAGTGAGATATATTGGTTACTTAGTAGACTTCACGGAACTTAGTCTTGTTCTCGACTAAGAATACGTATTTAATACAAGCGGCTTAACTACGCGGAGTCAAGAAGAATTCTGGTGCCCTTGAGAAGAGAATTCGTGTGTACTTGATTTCGACTCAGAATACAAATGAAATATAATCAACAATACTACAAGAAGTCAAGAATTGGGGAGTTCTTAATTTCGACTAATAATACAAATGGAAAATAATAATAAAATACTAAGACTTTAATGAAACAAAGTATTACACTCCCTGGTTACAAATATGATCTTAGTAAACCAAAATTACAAATTTTTAACAGGATTTTTATTTGGATGGCCTGAATTATCATATCAATCTAATAAATCAGTTTATTTCGAAAATATTCCAAATCTGTCCCACTGTGTGGCGGTTTTAAAAGTAAAAAAAATCCCTAAAATATTTGTATAGTTCAATTAAAATGTGTTGTATTAGTGTTTGTTAACTTTTTTAAACAAATTTTTCACCGAAAACCTCATATCACTCAAATAATTTACTAAAAATTGTTGCTAAGCATTTATTTATTACTGCCTAATTAATATATCTCAGATAGTAATAAATGTCACATAAAAATCTTTTTTTCCAAAGAAAAAAAGTACTTTAGGGGATTTATTCAATATAAAGATTACAACTGAAAGGTTTATTTTTAGTATTTCAGGAAAATATTTATTTACATTTCAATATAAAATGAAATTATCAAAATTTTGCTAGAAGGGTAGTTTACTCTAAACAAAAGAAACTAAACTAATGACATTTACTAAATTTATGTCTCATTTAACTAAAAATAATAATAATGAAAATTTTATTAACAGTTTTGTATGAAAGTTAATAGTCATGCAAATATTTCTCCCTAAAATTCTGCTACAAAATGTCTTTAGAAAATCTATAACTCATAACAACACTGACATCACTAATGACACCAGTTCGCCAATAATGTGCATACATTTATCGCTGCACTTCCCCACTTCTAACACACATTGTCGATCGCTGAAAGTTTGCTTAGTATCCATGACAATTACTTTTTATGTTTTTTTTTTTTTTGAATTTTATTTATAAATTATTTTTGCTCCAACATCTTGCAGTTGAGCGTAAATTAAATATTTTGTTTGTGTTTCTCGTGTAAACTACAAGACACATTTTATTTTTTTCTTAATGCTCACTTCTTCGTTCATTCATACTCGTCGTGTTGTGTATAAAATAGTCATGTTTATGTCTTAAGTCTTTTGTTTGAATTTGAGCATTCACTTGCTTACACTATCTCTCTCGCTTGCAAATGTTATTCTCTTTTTTATGACATAAAAAGTAAAGTGTTGCCATATAGAGAGGGTTTTACGTGGGATGTGATAACGGATTATCGTTTGTGAATGGAATTTCCATTATTTTGGGAATTTTTCATAATCGTTAGGTATTTTTGATGTAAATAATGACAATTTTATTGACATATCAATTAATTATTTTACTAAATTATTTTATTGTTTTTGTGATTTTTGTTTTGCTTTAATATGAAATAAATGCTAACTAACTAACTAACTACTAACTACTAACTAACTAACTAACTAACTAACTAACTAACTAACTAACTAACTAACTACTAACTAACTACTACTAACTAAACTAACTAACTAACTAACTAACTACTAACTAACTAACTAACTAACTACTAACTAACTAACTACTAACTAACTAACTAACTACCTAACTAACTAACTACTACTAACTACTAACTAACTAACTAACTAACTAACTACTAACTAACTACTAACTAACTAACTACTAACTAACTACTAACTAACTAACTAACTAACTACTAACTAACTACTAACTACTACTAACTAACTAACTAACTAACTAACTAACTAACTAACTAACTAACTAACTAACTAACTAACTAACTAACTAACTAACTAACTAACTAACTAACTAACTAACTAACTACTAACTAACTAACTAACTAACTAACTAACTAACTACTAACTAACTAACTAACTAACTAACTAACTAACTAACTAACTACTACTAACTAACTACTAACTAACTAACTAACTAACTAACTAACTAACTAACTAACTAACTAACTAACTAACTAACTAACTAACTAACTAACTAACTAACTAACTAACTAACTAACTAACTAACTAACTAACTACTAACTAACTAACTAACTAACTAACTAACTAACTAACTAACTAACTAACTAACTACTAACTAACTAACTAACTAACTAACTAACTAACTAACTAACTAACTAACTAACTAACTAACTAACTAACTAACTAACTAACTAACTAACTACTAACTAACTAACTAACTAACTAACTAACTAACTAACTAACTAACTACTAACTAACTAACTAACTAACTAACTAACTAACTAACTAACTAACTAACTAACTAACTAACTAACTAACTAACTACTAACTAACTAACTAACTACTAACTAACTAACTAACTACTAACTAACTAACTAACTAACTAACTAACTAACTAACTAACTAACTAACTAACTAACTAACTAACTAACTAACTAACTAACTAACTAACTGACTGACTAACTAACTAACTAACTAACTAACTAACTAACTAACTGACTAACTAACTAACAAATACTTTCGTTACTTTCAGTTCTCGCATGAAAGTAACTGGTTAGTAAGGCAGTTCCCAAGATCTTAGCTCTGTGGGACCCTAAAAATTGGCAGTTATATAAAATATGTTCTAAGGTTTTCTCTTCTAGGCCAAAGAATCTGCATAGATTCCTTATAGAGTAGCCTAGAGTGAATTGATAATACCTAAGCCCGCAATCACCAGTAAGCAATCCCGTTAGTACTCTGAAATCGATTTTATTGAGCACTAGTAGCTTTTGGGATTTTCTCTTTGACGGTATTACTTCCCAATGGCGAGCAAAATCAGATTTCACCCAAGAGTCACGTTTCATTGAGTGAAGCCCAGTAGTCCATTACAACACCCGCTTTGCTATCCGGCATTTTAAAAATTCCTAATTTCTTGGTTCTTCTCCTAACGCAAATAATGATGTTATATATATCAGCTT